GGTTAGTTTTACTTTATTTTACACGCTATTTTGAATAGACTTGTTCTAAGATATAATACAAGTTTAACCATAAATGTATAATATAAAAATATATAACAATTGAAAATAAAATAAATATTATTAATATTTTATTTACAAATAAAATACTACAAGAGTTTAAGATGAATTATAAATTTAAATTAGATACACCCTCAAAATATATAGTTTATGTATAAATATATCTAACTTTATCATTTATCTCTATGAGCTACTTTAAACGATAGTTTTCACAATAATTAATAATTTATGATTGTAAGACTTAACAATAAAATTTAATATTTCACAAAATAAATTAGGTTTTCAAGCTATAAAAAATTGTAATTCTAATAAAAAATTATAAAAATGTGAATCCTCGTTTAAGTAAAACTTATCAAAATATATGGGTTTCTTGTCCATTACCAACATTATTAATTGTAATTTTTCCTGAAAACAAGAATTGCCAACTAAAAGATTCCCTCTTTATAATAAAATATAAAATAAAAAAAAATCCTTGAGTTGACTACACTGAGATCGAAGTCTCTTCTTCTAGCTCAACAAAGGACACCTCAAATATTCCCTTCTTTCGAAAGAGAAAAAATAAAATAAAATAAAATCTGAGGGTTATTTTGTCAGAACGGGTGATTTTAATTTTTAAAATTTGAGATAAATGTTTTTTAATTCTTCAAATTAAAAAGAAAAAAAAAGAATTCTTCAAATTTATTTTACTTTTGAAATTTGAAAATATGGAAGATAGTTTTTAAAGTTTGTTTTAGTCTTTCGAATAAAAAATATTTATTTTAATCTTTTCAATATTAAAAAATGTTTTATAAAAGTCTTAAGACGTGACAGTGTCTGCCGATTCCCAACAGCAAATTCTCCTCTACTCAACCAACTTTTCGTACATCTTAAATTAGTTTGAAAGTTTTTTCTTTTTTTTAGAAATAATAAAATTACTTTATTTAATTTTGAATATTAATAAATAAATTATTAGAAGTAATTTTATTTTTTACATTCCTCTTTTTAATCAAATTTTTATATATTATCCTTAAAACTGTAATTTCGTCCTACTAAATTATGTTTTATCATAATATAAACAAAATAAACTATCTTTTAATGATAATGTATAAGGATTTATTTAAAATAAAAAAGATTGTGATAAATAAAATTTATTTTAATTAAATTAAACTTTAATAGTATAATTTTTATATTTAAACTATCATATTGACTATTTTTAAATTATTTCAAATTCAATTTTACTTACATATTTATTCTACAAATGAAAAAAAAATTGAGTAAAATAATTTTGATAAAATTAACTAAAATTATTACTTCACTGTACTAATTAATTTAAATATTAGAACAATCATATACTCACATTAATTTTACTTATAGAATTACGTTAACATGTGAATCATAATATAAAAATATTGATTTTAAAAATTAGATACCCCAATCATAGGCATATTCATATCCATACGCGTTAATAATGACATTAAAGTTCTTAGACATGTACCATAGAAAAACTTGTTTATGAAAAGTGGTTCTGCGTTGAATTTTTCGCTCTTTTTAATATACTAGTATTATACACTATCTATTTATTACATAAAATTTTGTTTTTACATAATTAAAAAATATGGTTTAAAATTTTATTTTAATATGTATATTAAATTAAAATCAATAATGGAAATAAAATTATTTGAATATATGAAATCATTTTTAAATTTTATAATAACTTGAATGACGTTGGCTTTGATTTGCATAGCCATGACTTTAATTATCTTTTGGTTGAGTCGAATTATGTTTTAAATTTGATCAAATCCATTTTAATATTAAAAATCTTACAATTTAGTCATTTAAATTAAAATTTAAGATTTTAACAATATATTTATTGCGAATATGAATTAATTTATCAAAATACATATAAGTACCAGTTTACAACATTTGTAAAAAAATTAATCAAAATATTGAAAAAAAATGGATTTTATTTAGAAAAAATTATAAGTTTGACAATGTCAATGAATTCAATAAATCAATCTGAATAATTGACTCAGTACTGAGTCAGAACACTGAATAATAGGGGGAATCCATATATAAAAACATTGTTTAAATTAGTATAAAAAAATGAGAATGAAGATAGAAAAGTCTTAAAATCAGATATTTTATAAAAAATAATAATTATATTTTAAATATAATATTATATATTATTATTTAAATGAATTAATTGAAAAAATATTTTCCATAAATATAATAAATATGAAAATTTCGATAGGTACAATTAGTTATATAATTTTTTATTTTTAAAATATGCTAATAAAATTTTGATTATGACTGAATAAATTAAATGTTGATAATGTGTCGATCTTTTTTTTTAAGTAAAATTGAGGTTTTATTTTTTTCACATGGTAAAGAGAAAATTCTGCCATATGTACCGTAGATGTTTCTAACTTAAATAAGATAAATTTAAGTAAATCTATTTAATTTTAATAGTTGGTGGACTTTGACTTTGTTGTTTTGGTATAACTTCCAAGTTGAAACATCAATTTTTTGTTGCTAACTACACATTACTTGTTAGCATGTTTGTATCATAATTATAGGATGTTCAAATGTCCTTTTCTTTTTGTCTTACAAAAAGTACAATCACATTGATTAAAATAATATAATCTGACAAATAACTTATATTTAAATTAATAAGTAATAATAGTTTTTTATAAATAAAAAATATTATTTCTTTATGTTGTTTCAGTTTAATTAAAATATAATTATTTGGATTCTCAAAATAACTTGGGAGTCATTACAAAGTGTTTAAAGATTATTGACGAAAAGGATGTTTAAGAGTGTGTATAAAGTCTAAGGAGATAATCAAGAAAAAAATATTTAAAAAGTTTATTGAAGAAATAAATTAAAGAATAACCGTTAGAAGTTATAAAAAATAACATTTATAATATTTAATGATTAATAAAACTTGAAGATTTTACAAAAATTAAATATAATGTTAGTAGTTATGATGAAGTAGTATAAAAACATGGGTGAAATCTATTTTTCCTTTCTGTAGTTTAAAACTTGTTTTGCAAAAAGTTGTTATTTTCTTCGAAAAAGAAAAAGTTTTGATGAACATAATTCAACCTTCTTGACGTTGCTTTTACGCTAGTACATGACCTTCTGACAAATATTTATAGACTTAAGCCTACTATTTTCAAATTTGGTGAAGTGAAGTACAAAAACTTGAATTGTGATACTTTCTTTACTCCTCCCAACTACTTTTCAACTACTCAACTTAATTTTGAATGGTAGAAAATGTTTTTACTATTCTGACCAAATATGTTAGTTAGACCATGTTTTTCACATTTTGCAACCTCGTACGTTAATTTAGTTTGACATAAAGGAATTTTGTCTTTCGAAAAATTGAAGTAAAGAACAATTCAAGCTCACTTATTCAAAAAAGTTGAAGTTTTAACAACCTTAATTTTGCACTTGCAATATATTTAGGTGGTTTTTCTTGCAAGCACATTTTTGTTTTATATTTTTTTATTAAAACTAAGAACAGTAAAGAAAAACACATGATGTGGGAGGGAGGGAGAAATAAAAATATTTTTTGAATGCTTTATTGGTAAGATTTTGTCTAACGAACATAATGTTAAGACTTCTCCTATTGATATATTCTGTATAGATGAAGTGAAATATAAGACACTTTCAATCATCACAAAAACTTCAAATACTCTTTTTTATTTTATTTTATTTTATTTATGTATTTATTTTTATATTTATTTATTTATTTATTAATGAAACGTTATGTGATTAAAATATATTATATAAATATCTATTCCTAATTTCAGATGCGAACGAGAACGAAAAGAGATATTATATTAACGAAATTTTTTCTAAAAACAATTCAAATTAATTATTTTCATAGAAATGTGAAATGAATAATATACACTATAATAAGAATTATCTAACACCACAATTAGTTACTTTAAAACTATGCGTCAAGTGTTTTATCATCTCCATAAATATTTATCTTTGTTTGAAAATGGGATTTAATATTTCATGGAATAATATATTATTAATAAATAATAAATAAATATAAAAAAATAAAATAAAATAAAAGATAAAAAGTGAAAACTATTATATATATATATATAATAATTATTTATGAATAATTTATTTTAATTTATCTATGTTACTAAATTGAAAGTATGTTTTGGAATTATTTTAAAATTAAATAATTATAGAATAATCAAATTAGAAGTATATTTAAAATGATTATCATTTTATAATTTAAGTAATAATTAATATAGAAGGGTATCAGAGTAATAATTAATATTTAAATTATATATTTATAATTCTTATTTGAATTTAAAATATATTATTTTAATAAATAAGTATTTTATTATAATCAAATCAAAATTACATTTAAGGTGATTATTATAATTTTATGAAAACCAGATAAACATTCAAAATGGTTAATTAAATAATATTTGAAGAGAGAAAATGATAATAATTAAAATTTAAATTATCAATATACTAATATTGATATACTAATTTAAATTATTTTTAAGAAAATAAGTTGAGTCATTTTTATTTAGAATTTGAATATGAAAAATAAATAAATAATCTTCCATATTGTAACTTATTTTTATCATGTTGTGTTAAGTTTTAAAAAAAAATTAGATCCAATAACTCATAAAAATAAAAAAATCTTTTCAAATTTGTTTTATTATCTGAAATCCATCTTTGTTATTTTTACCTTCAAAAAATAGATTGTTTTTACTGAATCTAACTTGAATCATTATCCAAAAGTTTTTCACAAATTCATTACGCCCAAAAACTAATTTGTTTCACTATTTGATACCGTTTTTGTTATTTTCACTTCAAACCCAAATAGAATTGTTTTTGGTGAATTTAATTTGAATCATCAATTCAAAAGTTTCTCACAAATTTGTTGGACCTAAAAATTTGGTTCAAACATGTTCCATGACTAAAACCTAACTAATTATTAAACCTAATTTTATCTCAAATGAAATCAAGCATATGGGAATGAGGAGGCATGAGAGAAGTGCAAAAAGGCTTGTTTGACGGTGGTTCACGATGATTGAAGGTGCTTTAGGGTTCGAAGATGAGGCTGGGTTAGGGCGCAAGGAGTGGAGGTGGCTGGGATAGTTGCCGCTAGGGCAGGACACAACCAAGGTGCCATGAATGAGGACGGAGATGGGTGCTAGGGTACGGTAGAGACACGCCTTCGAGGTGGCTGAGGGGGAAGGGTTTGAAGTGTGCTGATGCGATAGAGAGAGGTGAAACATGGGTAAGGGGTGGAAATAGTTTTAGTGAGGGAGTGACTTTGGCGTGAGGGTGAGGGTGAGGGTGAGAGCAAGGTGAAAAGGGAAAGTGAATAGTGCAATTGAAGGGAGAAAGATTGAAATGGGAGATGATGGAGTGAAGTGTGTCAGTGGGGATGACGGCGATGGCGGGTGAGGTGGTGCGACGTGGTCACATGGGTGATTATTAGTAAGTGTATTCTTCATTTTTTTTAGTTTTAGATTATTTAAAGATTACTAGAAGATTAACAAATGTCAATTTCAAGTAACATGTTGGTGGCTGTGGGCGTGGACGTTGGTAGTTGTGTATAACTTTTCATTTATTTATTTGTAAAAATAAAATGGAGGTGTTTATAATTATCTCTTTACTTAAGTTTTATTAGATAATTTAAAAAAATTGAAGTGTATATATAGATGGGAATCAGTTACGAGGTAAAATTCATAAATGACTTTGATATTTTGTTTTTGCTTTTCAAAGATTCTTTAGCATATGTCACGAGAAAATATCATGTAGGCAGAGATGAAATCGGAAAATTAGTTTTTAGAATTAATTTAAACAAATAATTTTTTAAGGAATCATAATATATTTTCTTAATTAAAATTAAATTTTTTTTTTTGGGATCATGGATCCCACCAATCTCCCCCTCCTTCCATCATTGAATGGAGGTATTTTTATTTGTTCATCTTTTGCTTGTAGACTATTTTTTTCCTATAAGAGAAATGATTAACTTCACAATTATCATCCTTAAAAAAAAAAAAAAAGTGTTGGTCTATAGGCAATATGGTAAATATTTATTTGTGTGTATCATTTAATTATTAACAAACATTATAAGATGATTTGATTAAAAATATATTTTGATGTTGAGTGTCTACTTTTGAACATCAATTACCATTTTAATATTAGATCATTTAGTTCTCAACAACTTAAGTATTTTTTTAATATTAGACATAACACGGTTTTTTGAACATATTCTGATGTAGAGAGTCTAGTGTTAAAATCATCAAAACTTTTGATGTTAGAGTGTCTAGTCTTCAACAACTTAACATATTTTGATGATAGAACATGTATCCTAGAATACCTTAATCTTCTGATGTTCGAGTCTATAGTCTTCAATAATTTAACATTTTTTTATGCTATCAAGATAATATGGTAGAAAACTTCTAGTTTAACTTCTAGGACTAGATGATGATGAGCACAATATTTAATTTTTTTATGCTACAAGGGTCTTATTTAGAAACATTAGATATACAAAACCTAATTATATTTCTTAATCATCAAAATCAATTATTATTGTCTAAGTCTTATAGAAAATTGTACATTGTTTACACACATTTGTCCTCTTTGGGTATTTCGTGAGGGAATTTATTGTGGAGAATACAATATCAATGAGACATGAGGTTAACCAACATAAGAGATTGATAACACTCTCAACCTAAAACTTTAAGGCATTGGGTTATGGATCATACTTCCTTATATGTTGTTCAACCTTCTTATTCATACTCAATATAAGACTTAGACTCACACTTGAATTTTTCAACAATATCAACTAATTTATGTACCAAAACTAGTTTGATATGCACCTAGTCTAGACTGAAACCCTCTTTAAATTGGTGTATCACCTTCAAAATGTAGATATAGGAACTGTCTTAACAATATAGATATATTAATCTGAAAGTAATGAGGGGAGATTGATGGAAATGTCCCTACATTCCCAAGAGATGATTTTAATGATGATTCAAGTCAACTACATTCAAGTCAATACTATTCAAGATGAATTAAGGACAAACTGAATTTATGACGTTGGTGACAATGTGAAACATTTCCCTACATGCCCAAGATATGTTTTTGATAAAGATGATGATTCAAGCAAGCCCAAGATGATTCCTGAAGACTAGATAGAGTCTTAGAATACTGGATATGGAGGTACAAGTTGATGAAGTAATATTATGCATAAGCCTCCAAAACACAAGTGTGATAAAATTCATAACATGATATTTTTCTCTGTCATAATCAATTATGATCATCAGAAATGGAAAAATGATTTTCTCTTTCATAATTGATTATACTGGTAATATAATCAATTATGACAATTCAAATTTGAAAAATATATCTATTTTAAAGAATAAATGTTTTTTAATACATCCTGATTTTCTCTATGATATTATTAATGTCCAACGACCATTTTCTGATAATATTTTTCTATTTAATTAAGTTTTGATGAAAAATAAAAAACACACAATTACAGAATTCGAAAATACAATTTACATTCAATCAGTTTTGAGAAAAGAATTCTGAGAAAACCCTCTTCTCTACTGTCTTTTGTGCTCTCATTGTTAATCACACTTGTTCTTGGAGATTGACATTCTATATGCTTCTACAATTTGTTGTCTCCATTACCCAGGTGTGACTGTTCTTATTTTTATTACCTTCATCCTTTGTGTATTGGTGGCAAAGGAGGTGTTTTTCATCCCTAGTATGATTCTAGGGAGGTGTTCATCCTTAGTGAAATTCTAAGGAGGTGTTTTCATCCTTTGATTTGTTCAAAGAAGATTTTCATCCCTAGGGTGATTTTAGGGAGGTGTTCATCCTTAGTGAGATTCTAAGGAGGTGTTTTTTCATCCTTTGATTTGTTCAGAGGAGGTGTTCATTCCTAGTGAGATTCTAGGGAGGTGTTCATCCTTAGTGAGTTTCTAAGGAGGTGATTGTCTTTTTAATTAGTTTACTTTTTACTGGTTCTTCTGCTGAGTTGATTGTAATTTGTAAACTGAATTTGAAAGATAGTGAATTGAGAGTAACTCTTGTGTTAAGAGTTGATTGGGAACTAGATGTAGGGTTGACTATACCCGAATTAGTATAAATCTCTGTGTGCTCTTCTCTTTCCCTTATCTCTTTCTCTTTTCCTGATTTTATTGTTGCTTCCGCTTTAACAATTTATTGACTCACAAATAAATTTTTAATTTGACATCTATTTTAATTTGTGCATCTATTCACCCCCCTCTAGATGCCATTTGTCTAACAAGTGGTATCAGAGCTTGGTTAGATACGATATTTCTAAACGATCTATCAAGATGTCTATACAGAATCAGGTTTACAAGGAAGAAGTCTTAATAAACAGACCACTATTATTTGAAGGAGAAGACTACCAGTTTTGGAAGGCGAGAATGAAAATATTTTTACAAACACTAGATTATGGTGTTTGGGATGCTGTATTCAACGGTCCTTACATTCCGATGAGAATAACGGAGTGTGGAGCTGTTCCAAAGACTTTTGATCAATGGACGCTGAATGAAAACAAACGTGCCCATTATGAAAATCCAAGTATGAGTCTAAGTCCTATATTGTACAAAAATGAGAAAGTTAAGAACATATAAGAAAAAATGACCCACGACTTAATTTATTAAAGTTTTGGGTTGAAGGTGATATTAATCCCTTATGTGAGTTGAACTTATATCTCATTAGTATTGTATTTCCTCAATGAATCTCCTTGAAAGACCAACAATGATATTAGAATCGATCACTTCGTTGTGTAAGATTGGTTCATGTATCACAAGTCTTCCTGACAGTGAGTCAGACAAGTGTATCCTATTATGATGATTAATGATACAAGCATAAATCACTAATGAGCTTGAAAAGATGTATTAATGTTAAAATATTCACACTTAAAGAAGAGATTGTTAAAAAAATCTAAATATAAATCTAAGTCGTTGAATAAAAATAAAAAATTTGAATAATATATAAAAAAGAATAACTTATTTTTTAATATTTTAAGTTAAAAATAATGTTAATTCTTTATATAAATAGATTCATATTTTATTAGTATTCTTTTTCCCCATAAATTCTAACATTCATTTAAAAACAGTTGAGAAGCTATGTATTATCGTATCTCATATCCTAAATCTAAGGCCTTAAAATAGAAACGAATAACACGTTGTCCTTTTCTTAGATATTATCTATCTCGAAAATCATGTTCTTAATTAAGAATAACTAAAGATCACGCACATGAAAATTAAATCATTTAATATGTCATAATCTTAAAACTCAAACCCGTCCAAATTTAGATAATCAAGGCAAGTGAATAAAAAAAAAATTAGAATTAAATTTTAGATTGATGTTTTACTCGAAACTAATTAAAACATCTGAATATTTTGGCTAGAACAAGTGTAAAATAAATATTGATGGAGGATGAATTTTAGTAGTTAGCTGTGAATAAAGGTCGAGGGTGATGTAACCTTGCTATGCCTTTTACGATGGGGATCCGATGAGAACATTGAGAGAATGATGGGAGAAGACATTGCATTATTCGCAAAGGTGTGGCTTTCGCCATACGGTTCCGTGACTCCTGTCTTTGTCATGTCATAGAAAGATCGTGTCGTGGGCCCCACCATCTTCATCACGTGACTTGTGTCTCTGGGTCAGATCCTATGGCCAACACTGTAGTCATCCACACCTACCACTAAAAGTTTATAGATATGCTTAATAACTGAAAGAACATAACTTTTGCAGCTTCCAGTGGTTGTCATCGAGGTTTTGATGGAAAAGGTTACGTGTAGAAGTAGAACAGCTAATAGATTATGTTTACTGTGCTTGGAAGTGTCCAAAAAATATAATATGCATCCTTTATCGTAGTTTGTGCCAATTTTCACTCCTTTTCAACCTCCATTAATGTTTCTTCTTCTTGCTGTCATCCATATTATTATTCCTCAAAAAGCAGAACATGGCCCCTTACCCAACCACATTAATATTATTATCAAGTATTACCTACTAAGAGAGTGTGCCACTTAGCGATTTTTTTTTTCAAAAATAATACTAAAAAATAATTAATTATACTTATATTTATCCATATACTTCTTTACTGTATAAGGTTCAAACGAAAACGTGTCATCATACATTAAAATTTGGAGTGTGTTATAATTTTTTTTTAGGTTATATATATATATATATATATATATATATATAATTTAATAATTATATATTTAGATAATTATTTATATAATTAGATATTAATATGCGAATATATTTAGATATTTATATCAATATATACTTATATATTTATATATATGTGTATATATATAATTATGGAATTAAATATTTATATGTTTATATATATTAACATTTATTTAATAATTATATATTTTAATTATTTATATATTTAAAAATTGATATAATTGTAATTTTTTATATATTTATATATTTAAATTTTAATATAGCAGTATATTTATATTTATATAATTTGATAAGTATATATTTATATATTAACATATGCTAATATTTTTATATTTATATAAATATATTAAATTTATTTGATTTGTTATGGTTAAGTAATATTAAAAATAAAAAAAATTGATTTACACGTTATTAGTTAAAAAATTATTATGATAATATTAGAATTATAAATAAATAATATAAAATTAAAAATTTATTTATTAAAATGAAACATAAATAAATAATACATGATGTATGGAATATATTAAATTTATGGATGAATAACGTTAGGACACATTTTTTTTTTGTAAAAATGATCTTTTGTAATTCTCTTCATTTATGAATTTGGACTCAAGATTGACCTTGTGTAAGATGGTTAATAATAATCATTTCTTAATTCTTTGAATAGTCCGTCATACAACTTACTCACTAGTGCTAAAGTATAAACATGATTTATGTAGTTGATAAAATTATGTGCATGTTTGTAAGCAGTTATTACAAGCGAACATGGTAAATAAAGTTTTTGGAATTTATCACAATCACACCATGATTCGTCTAACCTTACTATAAATCAGCCTATTGGTCTAACTTATCTTGGATTGAAGGTTTTCTTTACCAGAAATCTTGTACTCATTCCGCCAAACTCAATAATTCTATGAGTGTTTGTCTTTGAATGTGCATCGTTCAAAACCTTGGCTGCCACTTCAGCATATATGTGTCTAGTAGTAATCATGACCGCCAATTCTTTACATCTTTTGGTGAAGAACTTATTGCAACGCATATAAGTTGTTGTCACCAAGGAGGAAATAAGAAGGTTCCTTGTCTTTTTGAGGATCGAATTGATTGACTCTGCCAAGTTGGTGGTCATGTGTCCCCAACATCGATTGTTGTCCTATGTTAGTGTCCACTTCTCCCTTGGGATTTCATCCAACCATTTTATTGTCTCTAGATCGTTATTTCTTACTATGTTGTAATAGTAGAAGAATCTGGGCTTAATCATTCCATATGTTATTTATAAAACAATAAAAATAAATCAGTTAGTAGGTACTTGAGTTAATTAAAAAATAATAAAAATAATGAGTTTAGAAAATAATAGAAGTTACCCATGTTGACAACATCCTTAAGTGAATTTTTCTTGAATCTCCACATGAAATTTTGTGCAATGTGTCGAATACAATACACATGTATAGAATTGTTTTTAGTCAAACCGTTGCCCTCTCTTGAGTAAGCACTTCGTATGGACTCATGGCGGTAAAAAATGATGCATAGTCCATCTTGTAGGGTGACTTATATCCTTAGGTTCTTCAAAAGGAAGAACCAAGCATCAGTTGTTTCCCCCTCCACTATAGCGAAGGAGATTGAGAGTATGTTATTGTAACCACCTTGTGCTACTACAACCAATAAGGTTCCTCTATATTTTTCATAAAGAAATGTTCCATCTACTTGCACTAATGGCTTGCAATACTGAAAATCATTTATGCAAGGTTTGAAGGACTAGAAGACCCTTTTTGAAGAAGACATGGTCCTTAATCAGTTGTTGCCCTTTTGAAGATGTGGCAACTTCTTGTATGATTCCTCCCAATTGCCATATATTTTCTCGATGACTAACTACTTCGCTAACCATGTCTTTTGATAAGTGACCGTGTATCCTTGTTTAGACTTGATATGGAAAATTATTGTTGACACAAGGGTTGAACAATCAACATCTACAATTTCTTGGTTTGTTTAAGAAACAAGGTGTGATCCCAACTTGTTATGATATTTAGAGATTAATGAGGACACACAAGTGTGGCTGCCTTCCAACTTCATTATTTGCCAATATTGCTCTCTAGTCTGCAATATTGCTCTGCACCTCCAATCACACTCTAGATAAATACACTAGAAGCCTAGATTGGCTTGAAATTTGCACCTTGTATGTGCAATGGTGCATGATATGGAACCTATTTATTGTATTTGTGACATCTTCTTTATTGTTAAAGCGTTGACAAACAAACAATGTCTCAGGGGTATACAAATGTTTCTTGGTTAAGAACATGGGAAAAATCAGGATCAATGTCATTCATGACAAAGCGAAATTGGGTTAATTGTTCGGGTGGGTTATAGCTGAGTTGGGTGGGTCTGATGACAAGTTCTAGTTAGGGTTCATCATCTTCTTCATCTGCACTATCAGTGAGGATGTCATCTTCGTCATCCCTAAAAGGGTCATAAGTTTCATATGGAAGGTTTAATATGACATGTTCTTCCATAGATGGGTTGTTTGGTGGGTTGGATGGGTTGGCTGAAAAGTTGGTGATGTGGACATAAAAGCCCAAGGCCAAGAGAAGAAAGATGAAGATCTAATTGAAGACTTAATTTGACCAATGACTAGAGGAGGATTGAAAAGGCCCAAGAAGCTTTATAATAGGAGATGACTATTTTATGAGAGGACCAACAGTCAAAGACCCAAGGTAGCTCTGTTATTAGTTGATTCCAAATCCTAAATATTTTGCGTCAATTCTATTTGGAATTTTATTATTTGGTATTAGAACAAGGTTTCGTTGTGTACAACTTTCACTATTTTTTTTACATTATTGTTCATGACACTGTTTTGCACTATTCACGACACTGATCGCGCCTTGTTTTGCATTGTTCACGATGCTTGTTAAAAAAATTGAAAAAAGAAGAAGAGAGAAATAATTAAAAAAAAAACAAAAAGGAAGAAAAAGGTTGAAAAAAAAAACAAAAAGAGAAAGAATTAAAAAAAAAGGAGAAAGAAAGAAGTTTTTTTTTTTTAAATAGAGTTATTAATTTTTATATCTAGTGCGAGTGCACATCAATTGTTTGCTAAATTTCTTGTTTCAAGTTTTTTATTTAAATCCGTATGGTCTTGCTTGTTTCTTGGTAGCAAAATTGTTCTTCGCTATTTCTCTTTTGTGGAACTAAAACTTTTTATTTACTTTTTTTATGTTTTTTTATTTTTAGTATTGTTATTATAATTCTTAAGAGTGAATATTGATGGTAGATTGTTTGATTCTTACAAGAATCTAAAGTAGAGAATGAGTAATAAAAGACAGTGTAATCATTTATAAAAGAGTCGTATTGAGTGAAACATGAGCGTGGACTGTATACACGCGAGAGTGTGTTGTGAGGATAAATTTATTGTTATTTCTAATCTGTTTGTTGAAGTATGGTAGGGGAAATACCAAATATTGGAATTTCACAAATGCAAATGCAAGTTTTGACTCAACATTTGGAGAGGCTAATGAAACAACAAAGTGATGGACTCCATGACAGATTGGATCAAATGGAGCAAGCACAACAAGACAATCATGAAAATAAAAGAGGAGATAGGAGAAGAAGAAGGGAGAATGAGGGATAACAAAGACAACCTAGAGTTGTGGAACTGTAAGAGTATGTTGAAATGAAAGATTTGTTGCATAAGACTGTCCAAATAGAACAATAACTCAAGAGAAAGGGAACCATGGGAAGGGGCTCTTACAATAATAACTCTAATTGGAGAGATAAGGTTGTGAGAGATAAAAGAGTTTCACATGAGAAGTCACATAACAAGTATAATAATTCATCATTGAAAAGGAAGATAAGTGAAGTGAAATGTTTCAAATGCTTGGGGAGATGACACTATGCTTCAGAATGCCCAACAAAAAGGAATATGGTTGTGTTAGTAAATGGAGAAATAGATAGTGAGTCATCAAGTGAAGAAGAGAAGGAAGATTCAGAGATAGAATGAGAAGCATTGGAGGGTGATTTATTAATGATTAGACGACTTATGGGAAGAAATATGTAAGCCTTGGACCAAACCCAAAAAGAGAATATTTTTCATACTAGATGTTTTATTCAAGGAAAAATATGTTCACTCATAGTTGATGGAGGAAGTTGCACCAATGTAGCTAGCTCAAGACTAGTTACCAAATTGAATTTAAAGACAACACCACACCCTAGGTCATACAAACTTAAATGACTTACTGAAGATGGAGAGATGATAATGAGTAAGCAAGTGGAGGTGAACCTATCCATAGGACAATATAATGACAAGATTTTGTGTGATGTGGTTCCAATGGAGGCAACTCACATTCTTTTAGGGAGGCTGTGGTAATATGACACCAAAGCTATTCATGACGGTTTTACTAATAAAATCTCTTTTGAGTTTCAGAAAAAGAACATGATTCTCAAGCCTTTGACACCT